CCCCCCCGCCGACCCCCGGTAAATACATGGCCACCCCCAGTCGTCACCCTCCACCAAAAAATAAGAATGGAATATGAAGAATTTAATCCTGTAAACCAGAGCTACCCAACCTGTTGACAAGCTCGCCACTGGAAAAACTTACCATGGGGAAGCTAATGTGACACGGCTTGCATGCAGGGTGATGTGGGATTGGCCAGATACATTCAGTGTATTTTTATATAGCACCTTTCACAACAGAGCCTCCCCAAGGCGTTTTGCGTGGCGTGTTGTGGTACTTTACAACATCATGGGGGAGAGGAACCAATAACTGCCGAGTAGGGAGAAAAAAAAACTCTGGCGGTCCCAGGTCAACTGGACATGCCAACCCCCCCCCCCCGGTTGGCAAAATATTACCCCATTGCCACCCCAGTAAAACCACTGAGTCTAGTCTGTCCACCCCCATTGTACACGGTCTGGCTACGCCCCTGCCCAGTCCCCCGAGGGGGTGTGACACATGGCAGGTGCCCCCCCTGTCACTCGCACTCCTTGCTGACCCTTGCTGATGGAGATTACTGCACTCGATCAGGGTCTGTGTGATTAGGCTAAAAGGAACCACTCCACTCACTCAACACCAGGGAAGTAGGTTAAACCTGTCAGTGACTGACGCTGCACCATGACCCCCACCCAAACTGGCTTTCAAAGCCTTCCCCCCACCCTCAGCCAGTCTGCCATCGCTGATGGAGAAATTGTGTGAAAAAATAATGAAAACAGTTGCATGTTTTGCACTGTGACAGCAGTTACACTCCTCATCTATCTCTCGCTCCGTCACCTGTCTTTTACACGGAAAATGTGATATTCTGGATCTGTTAGGTTCCAACGGTATCCTGTAATTCAGACGTTTTGGCAGCGTGACACTAATTAAGGGGATGTCAGCTATTTCTTTATCCGTACCAGTTCATGACTTCCGTCCAGTCTCTATTTCATTTGCTTTGCTTTCATTCCTTTAGAACACTGACATAAACACCAGCGCTGGGTTTGCGGGTTAAAAGCCAGCATACAAAGACTAACATTTCGCATAAAAGCAGTCTCTCCGTTTCCTGTATCCTGCGGTCGGACTGTATCATTACCAAACTCCACCATTTCGCCAAGAGATCCACGTCCAGCATTTGCTCATTAATAAGACCCAGGGACCGGCCGGCCACAAGAGGGGGATGTTTTGCTTTTTACGCTGCCTTCCCCATTTAATGACCGAATTTCCATTACGGGTACCACTCTGACTGTTCCACAAACGGCTGACCCGACCCTAAAAGGGTAAAAGGCGACAATAAAACATTCCACCACAAACTGAACGCACTGATCTCAAGCCAAACAATGACAACAAACGTTGGTGTACGTGATTTTTTTTTTATATAGGATTTCTATCCAGTGTTTATTTCATAAGGATCTTGGTAAATCACAGTTATTGGCACGTATCTATTTATGTTTTTAATCAGTTTCAGCATGAACAATGGACTCGCTGATTCGTTTCCTGCAATCTGGTCAATATTGAGCGGGTTCCTGCTGAATCGTCCCTACGTTCCGTCAGACCGTATTCAATTTTGCTTCGGTTTTTACTGAGCTCAGAAGACAGCTAACTGGCACGAAACAGGGCCGACCGACAAGCGGCCGCCCACCGCCAGGGCGGCGACTCTTACACCTGGTACCCTGCTAACTGAGGACACGCCTGTAGGAGGCGCTCACGTAGCCAGAAATTCCTGTCTAGCGCATAGCACCTGTGAGAACGTCAAATTGAGCGTTTTTCGTAAGATAGTAAACTAAAGTCAGTATTTATATATGTAAAAGTAAAATATCTTATATGCTGAAAACACACGTCTATAAAACCGCCCAAATGCATGTAGGCTATGTATATATACATATACATAGGCTATGTGTATACATGCATACATACATACATACACGGCAGACCTAATACTACAACAGCAGCCCCCTTGCGAAGGCGGAGTGGCCCTCGGCAGGCGGAACACGCTGCGCTGAGCCGACAGCACTGCGGGACCATCGGCAAGCCTGCGCAAGTAAAACGGGTTTAGCTTTTCCTGTCCTCAAAATAAGGCGCTACTATCCCAGTGAAATGTGGAACAAAGGTAGCTTACTCAGTCCGCCTGGTACGTAGATAAACCCCGCACATTTAAAACGAAAGTGATGCATTTGGGCGGTTTTAAAAATAAATATATTAACAGATACAATCCTGCGCTGATATATTTAATAGATAGGGCGCATTTAGGCTTGTTCGAAAAATTTGTTCCCGGACGAAATGCTCTGCAGGATGACAAGAACTCACGAAATGGTCCCTATTTTTTTCTCTTTCGCTGTAAATCATTGAACATCATGCGGGCTCTTATGGTGCTTAAAAATATTTACACAACTTCAGCGTGGAGGGGCTAACCTGTAAGGGAAAGGGTGTAAATGTAAAGCTGTCTTTAATGGGGGGTTCTTAACACTCTTGCTCTGCACACAAATGATGAACGTGCCATTGTATTATATGGGGTGTCCTGGATCAGTGGATCTTCTTACCTGGAGATAGCACAGGGATATAAAACCGTGCAAAGCCTGGACGCTTATTTAAGCGACACATCGGCGTGTCGGACACGCTCTGATCTCCGTGACTAACGACGTGATTCTGCCGCTTTAAAACGCCGATCCGAGCGCAAACTTTCGGCGTTCAGATGCCGGTTCTCCTACCCCCTGTGCAGCTCTAGTCCCTCCCACCCAGCGTCATGGGGCTCGGATCTGCTCCCTCTCAGTCCAGCATCGTCACACTTGGACTGGACGTTTGCGACGTGTGGAGCTGTATCTAGTGAAAAAGCGAAAGCAAGTTACAGTTTAATATCAATCTGTCGCCTAAGGGAAACGCATGCGACCTCTTTGCGGATTGCCGCAACCGCAGCCTTGCAAAAAATTAGACATCTTAATACTGACAAAGAGTCAAACACCTGGAAATCTGGGAAGCGTCGCATCTCACACAGTGCAGCCGGGTGTTGGCTTTGGCCGTACGGGCCGTGCAGCCGGGCACACTTTGGTCTGTATGGAGAAGTAACTCTGTCTCGGGAACTTGCTCCGGAGCCATCGAGCGCCCACCGCCCCCTCATCCGAAAACCAGGACGGGGCTGGAGCATCGCGCAGCTGTCCGGAGTTCGCGGATATTTTGTGTTGGAATGAACACTGCTGGGATACGGGCGGCTTTCTGAACTTAAGTGATGCTTTATAATGTCAGATTTGCCTCACAATCGGCGCCTCTAATGTGATCCGGACTCGGTACATCATCTGAATTCAGTGAGCGTTTGCCGTCCACCTCCAGAGTCTTTGCATTGCAGTAGAAATCTTCCAGAGATCTTTCTAGGGCTTGCGATCTTTACACACATCCCAACTTACTCGTTTTATGGAGTGACAATCGCCGAGATTCTGCAGTCATTGATAAATAGCTGGGCTGGATATTAACCGTGCAGAAGGCAGCTGTCAAAGCGCCGCTCTTCGAATAAGCGGCTCCGCTGATGATCTCAGGGGATTTTTTTACATCCCAACACGCCTGGAAGCTGAATCCGCATGTCTGACTGGTACCAGCTCGGCTGAACACGTCCGGCTGTCCGCGATCGGGGGTCCAAGGAGGGAGCGGATAATTGGGGAAGGTTTAGCGTTATCTCTGCATGGCCATGGCGATCTTCACCAGTTTTTGGATATTGTTGGTGGCCGCTAACCTATCGGGTAAGTCCACTTGCGACTATCTACTTATGAATGCAACTACTGTGTTTGTTGTGTTTCGTAATGGCAGCATGCAATCAATTATACCACCCCATAAAACATAATAGCGCGCTCATAATTTGTGTTAAAAGCAACGGTGTCAAGAGCCCCCCCCTCCCCCATCCGGATGGATGCAAAAGTAAACCGGTATTAATGCACGCGTGCAAACTTGTTTGTCATAAGCAGAGTGAAATGTGCCCCCGAACAGGCAGATGGCAGTGGTGCTGAAAGCCCATCGGATGCTGGTACCGGAGAGAGCTGGATGGTGCATTGAACCTCCACCTAGGTGTTAATGCCTCTCAACACACAGATGTCACTGTGGTGCTGAACAGCTGAATGTGTTCATTTGGTCCGAACTACAAACACGACGCCCATAACTAATTACATACACCCACCCCATCATGGCTCATTATAGAAAATCGCAACCGACGCGCTGTTTCCCCGAAGATGTATCTATTACCTGAAGCGGATTCTTATTATTATTGTAATTTATTAATAGATCATGGCTTTGCTGGAGATACTTAAGGCATCCGGATTAGTGCACATCGTCAGCCTTGCTCTGGGCCGTTAGTTTTAAATCGCATACTAAGTCAGACAGACAGCCGTTCATCACATTTGCCCAGACAGCGGCAGCACTCTGAGGATGCTGGCTGGGTTTATTATTGGGCTGGTTTGTTCACAGCTTAGTTATCCCACCTCCGGAAGACCGGGGGGACGTACGCGTGCCCCTGATAATCCCCAGAAGTTCCATAGTGTTTTCCGATGCACCCGGGATGTTTTGGTGCCTTGGGATGAACGTGGGATTGGATCTGCAGCAGTACAGTATTTGCTGCGTCGGGGAGGTGGCTTGGGATGCGGTACCGAACCGGCGCTCCTGGTACCCCCGAACACGTCAGTACACGCGCGGTTTTGCGGGTGCAGGCGCCGTGCTGCAGGTATCCAGACTGTAGGGAGCGTCTCCCTCCGCGATGAAGTGTGAAATTGAGAAGAATGTGAAGCTTATCTCCAGAAGCCCAACACAGAACAGCACTATTCCTCCTGCACGATCATGCCTCCCTGGAGCCGGAAACTGCGAGATATTGCAACTAAAAGTACAGAAAATCCGAGACTATGTCCAAATAAAGTGTGTCGCAAAAACACTGGAGTGATAATGAAAGGCACAGGTGTTGTCGGCGTTATTCGTAAAGGTGTTTCTGTAACCCCTAGGTCTTTAAGGGCTTCACAGGTAAATAGCCTTAATAAGCACTTTAAAATCTGCCGGTGAACTGGAATTAAAGCTGTGATGTCACGCTAAATCTCCGTGACTCACACTCGCTGATGACTGTACATGTCACAACAGCTTTAAGTAAAGGCTTTCAGACAAAGTGGGTGTGTTCAGTGGCCACACGGGTGAGCCTGTGGCCTGTGTTCAGTGGCTGAACACTTCCCCGACGGAGCCCAGCGTCGGGCCTAACGAAGTCAGCCATCCAGAAGCACTTCAGTTTGCTCTGTTGGATACTGGGATACATGTAGGTCACTGGACATCATTCAGCATAGCTGGCAAACAAGATCAATTTGAAGTAAGGCAACAGACTGTAATGAAAGCAAACCTATTATGGCTCACATTGTACTGTAAACACACTTAGCCATTAAATCTTAATGAAATGACTTTAGGCAATTTAAATGGAAATGTAGTATGATTTAAGAATCTGACGCGGCCATTTAAAAAAGTCTGCCTTTCTGCGAGCCACAGTTCATAATTCTGTTTTTAATTTATTTTTTGGTTGTGTTATGTTATGTTGTTCCAAATAAATGATGTTCCTGGGGGATCATTGTTCTCAGTGCACTGGGGGATGGAGCAAACAAAAACCTCGCCCCTTGGGGGGAGAGGGGCCTCGCACAAGGCCTGGGGAGGAATCTTAGAGGCCACATTTTTGCCAAACATTAATGGGGAACATTTGCTTTTCGAGGCTGGGGGGGTGTTGTGGTGTGGGGGTGATTTACATCCCCCAAGGATGGCGTGCCAAATCCTGTCAGATTTTACGGTAAAGTGAAGTTAGGGTCCAGAGTCAAGTGAGGAGGCTAAATCATGGATGTTGGGACACAGAGCCACAGGTGGGACAGCTCTGCATGTGGCAGGGGGGGCAGGGGGTGGGGCTTGGGTGTACTGGCCAATCGCTTTTGGGTGTTGTGACAGGTGGGGGTTGAGGTATAGACAATCCTATCATGACAGACAACGACCGGTGCTTCTGGTGGTTGAGCAGGGAAAGAACGAGACTATAGTAATATATGTGATAAATAAAATGCTTCAGCCAGTTAGAGTGAAGCTTAATTGAATAAGTGGTTAGTGAAAATGGATGGATAGATTCTCATCAGTGTGGGCCAGATCGATGCAGAAACACTTAAATTTGCTGATTTCATATCGATGACATTTTTGTTGATTGGACATTAAAAATGAAGTGGTGTTTTCCATCCCTTTTCTCTGAGGGCATAGTTGAAGACTTTGTCGTACTCTAATGTCATAAAATGAAGGAGAAATACAGGGTGTTTAGGGATCTTCTGATAAGCTTCCGGCTTCTGTGCCGTACGGAGAGGGTGACGATCTCATCTTCACCATGAATAGCATGGCCACCTGATCCTGCTTTAATTCAGCATTATTTGCTCTAGTTGGAGTATTTGCATCTTGCCATACAGGGACCTAACAGTTCACTTGGAATTTTAGCAGATAGCACCGTGTTGGTGAGAAGATTCACACATGTTTCTGCTAACTGTCTCTTGCTGGGTGCCGGTGTGTGAGGCATCTGGAGATTACTGCTGCGTTTGTACTTAGTGGTGGGGCAAGTGAGTATCATGAACTGTAGACAGTGGCCGTGTCGTGTGCTGTCAATCAAGTCGCCGACCTACTTTATTTGAGAGGAATCCTGTAAAGTAACCAATGGGAAGCAAGCTGAACTGGTCTGTGATTGGGACGGCTTGATAGTCCCTCCCACTGTGGCTTGGGGAACCAATGGCCTGTGCTGTCCATCCTCTGTAGACAAATGAGGTTGGTTTTACAGAGCATCCACTGTGCGAGGCACCTGCTGCCGCCCTCGTCACAGTCTGAGGAGCATCATGGGCCCAAATTGGCGTCTCGTGGCCCATGGAGCCTGGGTACTAAAGGGAGGATGCAGCCCACACTCCGGATATGCATGGATTACATCGAGCGGTGCCATTTGTGCCCAGAGTAATGACTTAATCTGTTAATTGATTGAGCTAATTAATCACTTTACTTGACGTTCTAAAAGCATTTGTTGAAGAACCTTTTTACATCCCTCACGGAATAAAGTGATTAACCCTGGGGTTCATCCCGGCATCTATGAGAACGTGATGTTCTGCTGCATTCTTAATGTCCTTAAATCAGTGTTTCCAAATCTGATCCTTGGGGACCCACATTTTTGCTGCCTTCCAGCTCCTGGTAAAACGTGGACTGTGGCAGGGTGCTGGGACGGAGCAAAAACGTGGACCGTCTGTGGGTCCCCAAGGACCGGGTTGGAAAACACTGCCTTAAATGCCTAAACTGCTGCAGAGATTAAGTCTGCTAACCCACAGTGGGTGGGATTGTTGCTAGCTGCCAGTCACATATCAATCACCAATCCACTTCCAATCTGATTAATGTATGGGCTCCCATTGGGCTGAACAAGCTTGGTAATCCCGCCCACTATGGCTTTTGAAGCTTTATAGCTCCTGGGTAGTTTGATCTGAGTCATTCTTGGATGTCAGAGATGTCAAAGGTGAACACCCACAGCCTAAGATGGAATGACAGGTATTTGGGTCCGTAAGGGTGTTCTGGTGACCTGTGGGACATCTGGCTGGCCCTGGAAGACTTCGTCATGCCTGTTGCTAAGCGATGGTGTATTGACCTACTCAGAGCCTTCCCAAAATACTCCCCTCTTTCTGCTGTCCTTCATAAGCTACTAAATTCAATTCTTAGCGCTTGGACAGTGGGGACACACTGGTGCACCAGTACACATTGATTTGGGATTAATTTGAGTATGAGTAAGTGACTTATAATGAAAAATGCTTTCTTAGTACTGTGACTGTATTATGGATGAAAACAAGAAGAAATGCATTTTCCTATATATATATATATATATATATACACACACACACACACAGGTTTTTTGATGCAAGTCCCTAATTAGATTACTAATTAGACGACTGATTGGCTGAAGAATCCTCACACCTGGGTTTGAACAACTGACCTAAAGGATATCCCAAAATCCTGCATACACACTGACCCATTGCGGATAAGATCGGCCACCTCTGGCCTACAAGGAGAGTGATTGAGAGTGATCACATCACGTCAAAGGCCCTATGGTGGCATTGCTCTGTATACCCTGGGATTCAAACCAACAACCTTCTGAGTCCCACACAACAGAGCTGCCCCCATGACTCAACAAATAAATTTGTAAAATACTTTTTTGGTCAGTGTATAATTCCATGTATGTCAGATTATACTTATGATGTCTATAATTATTCTAAAATTTAGAGAATAATACAAACAAACCTTCGTATGGGTGGGTGTGCCAAACCTTTAACTGGTACTATATGTATGCAGGATGGAGTGAGAGTATTAAGTGCCTCTGGACAATAACACATGTGATGCTCACAAACCTCTGCAATGCAGCCGACGTAAGCTACTCACTGAGTACCATATTACAAGAACAATACACAATCACATTAAATAGATATTACATTGCGTTTACTTGTTAAAATACATTCATGATTGGAGTATGTTGGGGGGGGGATTGCTCTACTTTGTGCCCCCCCTTCCCCCGAGGACGTCGTGCCCCTGGGCACAAGCCCAAATGCCCATATGTTTAATGCGGCCCGGTATGTATGTACTCTGTAATAGACTGGCATCGCTTCTGTCCTCTGTCCTTGGAATAGGTTCCAGGCTCCCCATCCAGGCTAAGTGGGTGGGAGATGAATAGAATTATCATTAA